GCGGGGGCTTCCCGGGCGGGGCTGTCCCGGCGGCGCAAGCGCAGTTGGCGCACCACGCCCTCGAAGAGCTCGGCCACGTTGTGCTGCAGCGTGGCGGACGTCTCGATGAACTTGCAGTCGAACACTACGGCGCAGGCGCGGCCCTCTGAGGGGCGGGGCCAGGCGGGAGGGAGGAGGAGATAAAGGCAGGAAGGGCGGGGTCAGTCTCGACCGGAAGCAGTCTTTCCTTTCCCAAAGCTGTGTGCTGGGGGCCAGGGGGCTCAGAAATAAATCGGGTCTGGCTTTGAGACATTAGTTCACGGGCCAGTGACGGATACTGGTGGCAGAATGGGGCTGGGACGACAGGGAGCCTGGGACTAGGTAGGGAAGAGCCTTGAATGCCAGGTAAGCGGTCTAATCTGTGCACCAGAACTATCCGGGGAGAGATTCCTGTTCGGTAGGTTTGGGCTGTGGTCTGGAAACCTGCATTTTAACAAAGTCTCCTGGGAATTTTGGGACGGCTGCTCACAAAGCACACGGCCTTCCATCTCCGGGGTGGACCTGGGCTCTGGTTTTCAGTGGCGGATGACCCTGTGGAAGTGGCCTCCTCTCTCTGGGTCTCAGATTCCATAATTTTAGATTGTTCCCTGTAAGTAGGGCCATTTTTAGATCTTTAGGAGTCCCACCTGCTATGTCAAACCTGTTAAAATATTCCCCATCCTTCTTTAAATACAAGTTATATATAACTTTAAACATATTTTGGTGTGCAGTTGCTGGATGGCACAATATCATGTTTTATAGACAATTAAAGCTTTCTGAATTCGTCAACTTCTCACTCTATTTTGCAGCCAACAATTGGCTTTTTCAGGTCTCAGATGTAAGGCCTTGAAAAGCCTGTAGGACTAGGCCTATCAGGCCTGGTGGATAAAGTGTCTCTAAGGGCATGGGGGAGGCAAAGGGGAATTTTTAAGCAAATAAGTGACAAGGTCAGATCTGGTTCTGGGAAACTCTGGCAGCTGTTGAAGAGAACTGATTGAGTGGGGATACAGAATGAGGGCGGGGGCTGGCCCAGGCTAGAGTGGAGATGGCGGGATGGGACAGAGGCTATGGGAATGGGGTAAATGGAATGCGGGGTTAAGGGGGGTGGACCTGACAGGGTTTTGGGATGGGTTTGGGGGAGTGAGGGAGGAGACAGGAATGGTTCCTAGCTGTCAGGCACAGGCAAGTAGATGCATAATGGGGCTGTAGGGTGGCACGCAGTCACAGACCAAGAGCACTAGAGGAGGAACAGTGACAGCGGGGCTGAGAGGAATATGGAGAAGGAGGGTTGACCAGCGGGCTCACCTTCCACGGAGACTTCCCGGCAGCGTGCCAGGTCCGCCTTGTTGCCCACCAGGATGATGGGCACATGGTCCGCCTGATGTGTACGCCGCAGCTGAATGCGGAGCTCAGAGGCGCTCTCGAAGCTGCCTCTGTCTGCGATGGAGTACACGATGACGTAGGCACTGCCCACCTGCAGGCATGACTCCTGGCTCCAGCTTTCGTCCTGTAGGGGAGGGAATCCAGGCCCAACCTCAGAGAATACCTAGGCCCTGGCTGAGAAAGGGGCTGGGATGGTCTAATGGGTGGGGTGGGGCTAAGGTTTATACTTTGGACAGGTTTGAGGAACAAATTCTCCCATAATTCCCTGTTCTCTCAAAGTAGTGACACTCTGATCCTCTTTGAGCCTGTTTCTCTGCTTGAAAGATTGGGCTAATGACACCACATCACTACATTCTCTCATTCATTGGTTCCTTTTATAGGCTGGCACTGGAGACAAAAAAAAAAAAAAAAGTTGGTTCCTCTCTTTGCTAAGGAGGGTTTGCTGTTTAGATGTTCTGGCTTTGCCTGTTTAACGGGTTCAGTCATATTAGACAGTTTGTTTGGTCTTCTGCAGTCTCCTCAAAAGAGAAAAAAGGAAGGGAGAGAAGTGAGGATGGAGGCCGACTTCAAGGGAAAGCATTTTTTCAGAATGGTTTAAAAAATATCTTTATTGATTTCAGAGAGAGGAAGGGAGAAGGAGAGAGAAACATCAATGATGAGAGAGTCATTGATCAGCTCCTTCCTGCACCCCCCCCCCCACTGGGGATTGAGCCCACAACACGGGCATGTGCCCTGACCGGGAATTGAACTGCAATCTCCTGGATCCTAGGTTGATGCTCAATTGCTGAGCCATGCCTGGCCAGGCTCGGTAACAATAACAACTTTGTAAGTGTTTAATAAGACACAGTTCCTGCCCTCCAAAAGCTCATGGTCTGGAAGGGAGGCTATGGAAATGGAGAGTTATAATGCACTGTGATAAGTACCCATATGCAAGTGGTTGGAGAAGCCATGGGGTTGGGGGAGGGAGGCCAGAACTCAACCTGGCAGAGTGTGGGGGGCTTCACAGTGGACCCATGAGTGGGTTTTGAAAGGATGAGCAGGTGGAGCAGGAGAGAAGTGAGTGGGTCAAGATTGGGAAATACTGACTGTGGTGGAGGAATTGTTTGTGAGAGAGAAAGAAGCCAGAAAAGTTATCTGATAACCAAATAAGATAGATGAATAGGAAAGCATCAGATCCATGGTCAATATCACTGTTAAAGGGGGTGAGTTTTCAACAGCCATATTGATTCTTCCGCAGGCCGCATAACAGTGGGCTGAGTCAGATGGTTGAAGGTGCTCATTCTGAGATCTCAACCTTGACTATGCACAGGTTCCTTTTCCCCTTTGGGTCTCAGTTTCCTTATCTGTAGAGTGAGATGGTGGGTCTTGACCATTCATTCATTCATTATACAAATATTTATGGAGGATTTGCTATATGATTAGGATCACAAAAGCCAGTTGCTGCATGGATTGGTGGCTAAGAATCTTTTGGGGACGTGATTAAAAAGATAGATTCCAGGATTCCACTTATACAGGCTCTTACTCATTAGGTCTGGAGGGAGGCCTAAGAATTTGATTTTTAATACTCTCTCCAGGTGACCCTGATGGTCGGCCAAGCTAGGGCACTACTGAGCCAAGGGTCCACCCAGTTCTGTCAGATTCTGCCTTGCTGACATCTAACCATCTAGGCCAAGGATGGAAGGAATGGAAGCTTATTCCAACAAGTCTGCTACTGTATGGGCGCTATTGGGAGCTGCCTTCACAGTCACCAACCAGGGAAACTGGTTCAGTTTCCTTATTTTACTTGTAGGAAAACCAAGGGCCAGAGAAGAGAAAACTTTCTCAAGGCCACAGAGCCAGTAAGACACAGAATTCCAGTTCCTGCCTTCTAGTCCAGTGTTCTGCTTCCTCTGTCTCGTGAATGGGACTCCCAGGCTGATCGCTCTTCTTAGTTCACTGGACCCTGCCCCATAGGATTCTCAACTGCATCCAAAAAGCAGCCCCTCCCTTACCAGCCTGTGAGCTCCACGGGCCATAAAACATGTCTGCCTTATTTACTGCTGGGTCTCCAGTGTTCCGGCCCGTGCTACATACCATCAAATGTTTCTTAATGAACAAATGGGTGAAGGAGTGGAACCTCAGCTGGAGGTGAGAGGGTGATGCTCCCAGGGGCAGGGGGAGGGTGAAGGGGCTACCCTAGTGCATAAAAGCGCAGGCTCTGGGTTCTTACAGATCTGGGTTTGAATCTCATTTGCTGAGAACTTTGGACACATTACTTAACCTCTCTGAGTTCTGATTTCCTCACCATAGAATGGGAATCGAAAGACACTCACTATATAGTTTTTGTCTTGGCTGAACGTCATAACATAAGTCCAGGGCTTAGCACAGGGGCTGACCCTTAGGAACAGGGTGCTCCATAAACGTCAGCTGCTGCTAAGAGAATCATCATCATCATTATGATGTTCATTTGGACCATGATTTCCTTTTATACTTGTCAAAAAGAATTGGCTACACAGCTCCTTCATCCCTAGCCTCTGGGCCTGTCACTGAAGCTGCCAGTCATTTTTGTCAGTCACCCAACACTGACCTCCTAAACCTTCCTGCGGTCAGGTCCTCCCTGCGTGTTAGGGGAGGGACCTTCTCCTTAGAGAGGTGGAATCTCAGGTGGTTTTCAGATCCTTCTCTTGGTGTAGTTGTATTTCTTCAAAGTTCTATAGTGAGCATGTATTACTTGTATAGCAAGGAAAAAAGAAAATCAAACAAGGTAAGAAAAACAACAGGGACATGTCCCTGCCTGCTGCTTTCTTCCTGCTTGGGAAGGGGCTAGGGAAGGACACCCTTTGGTTTCCTTTTTCCTTAGCTACTAAGTTATGATTAATAAGAATTGTCATTATTTATTATTCTTCACCCATGTTCAGCATTTTTTTCATGCTCCCAACTGTGCTCAACTCTGTGAAATTGCATAAGAACTTTTTAAAAAACCCCAACAGTTGGTAAATAAGACAGGAATGATGGACCCATTTATCAGGTGAGAAAACTGAAGCTCAGAGCAGGTAAGTCAACTGCATGCAAACTGGTAAAAACAAAGCCACACAACTGGTAAAAAAAAAGAAAGAGGGGTTGAACCTCAGACATTTTGATGCTAAATTCAGTGTCCCTTCCTCTGCACAATGTAGGTGGGTGGAGTGGGATCAGGGTGCTAATAAGAGAGGGAGGCTTGCAGGGGAAGTAGCACATCCTGGGGTGGCTATGGAGAGGAGACCAGTGGAGTGAGAAAAGGGGGTGAAGGTCATGAGGTTCTGTCTTTGGTTGGAAAGGCTGCTTAGGAGCTATGGATTTTGAAGGGATCTGGTACTAGGCTTAGCACCCGTCCCCCCACATCCCGCTTGTTGTGCCATACCAGTTTCTCCGCCTCCCAGGTGTCCATGACCAGCAGTGTGGTGTCCTCTCCATCCACTGTGAGGGTCCTCTCGTACACATCTTCTGTAACAGAGGGAAGAGCTGGATCTCAGGGAGGAAGGGCAGTCCTGGGGAGGGTATGGGCCTCCCTAGCCCCTCTTTATGGTCACTGTACCCCCTCTATTTCTCCTTGAAGTGTTCACCACACTTGTGGGATGCCTGTTTCTCCAGATAGGTCAAGAAGCTCCAGGAGGAGCCCATGTCTCCCCAGTTGCCAGCATAGTATGTGGAACACAGTAGGTTCTGAGAAAGCTTTTGTTTTTGTTGCTATTGATTGAATGAGTGTGTGTGTGTGTGGGGGGGGGGGTTAAAGGTGGACTGGGAATTCTCCAGCGCTGCTCTGTCCCTGGCATAGTGTATACTTAAGGCAGGTCATGTCACCCTCTCTGGGCCTCCGCCTCCCTCTCTGTCATGCCTACAGGTGCACATATGCACACCTCTCGTATGGGTTCTCACTCTCAGAGAGACCAAGCCTGGAGAAAGGGCCTGGCTAGAGTGTCCCCGCCTTCTCTCTGCGTTTAACCAACTCCCCACTCCACTCATTCTATGTCCTCTCAGCCAGTCCTGCAAAAGCCAGTCTTCACTTTCTCTGTCCTGCCCCATTCCCCATCATCCTAGGGCCCCCCAACCCTCTCAGCTCACTGCATCTCTTGGGAATAGAGGAACCCAGGGCCTAGAACTTGGAGTGTGAGAGTCTCCATTTTGGGCAGAATCTTAGTTTTGCTGCAGGTCATGTTGGCCATGGGTGTTTATCTATGGAGCTGGGATGATTCAAGAGTTGGGGGAGAGTTGGGGCTAGGGGTTTCTGAGGTAGGTGGAAGTCCACTATTTCTTTATACTTGAGACTGAATCCCATACCTCTCACACATGAAAACTGGCAAAATTCTCACTATCAAAGGAATTTCTCTCCCATAGACCATTGCGCAGGCTGTGCCCTGCACAACTCTAGGGGGGCATAGTCACTTCATAGTCTATGTGAATGACGCCCCTTTGAGTTGAGCAGTGCACGAGCTGTACAACTGTTCTTGGCAGCTTTGTGTCCCCGATGACAGGGCTTTCACTCCTTTGGTCACATGCCAGCCCAGCTGACAGGGTTCCTACCTCCCAGATGTTCATGGAGCTCCCGCTCTTGCTTCCCTGCAAAGAGGCTGGCCAGGCTGGTCTTCCCTACGCCAGGATCTCCAAGCAGCACCACGCGGTAGAGGGCCTCCCAGGAGCCCTCAGAGTCGCTGGACTCAGAGGACCAGCCGCTGGGGGCAGGTGAAGGTTGCTGGGTGGGAGGGTTGAGGGAGGCTGACTGGCCCAGCCGAGGATGTCCGGATTGTGTGGAAGTGGAAGGTGCTGTGCACAGGCCAGGCTGGCGGCCCCGGGAGGACAGGGGCAGTGGAGTGCTGGCTCGCCGACGCAGGGGGGTCTTTGCTTCCTGCTGGGTGTTTAGTGTCATCCTTGGGAGGGGGACTTGGCTCCTTCCTTCCTTCCTTCTTTCTGTGAACAAGAAGGGGGAGTGGGCGGTGAGCCAGGTGCTCTGAGCCCCATCTTCTGTAGGGTCCTGATGAGTTGCTGAGTTAGCTACCTCCAGAGCCCCCCCTTGTTCAAGTGGGAGGAGGAGGTGCCTCAGCTCCTTGGGGTGGGGGCTCTCCGGCTTCAGGCCCAGTCTCCCTGGGTGAGGCGGGGAGGGTGACACACACACGCATGCACACCCAGAGGCCGGCTCCCGTGCCTTGAGGATGACCCACTCCCCCAGACGCGCGCACAGGCCGGAGGGGCAGCGGCGGGTGGGATGTCCACACGCGCGCACACCCTGGTGGACGCAGCCCTGCCTCTCCCGTTCGGAACACGAGACCCCCGTGCGGGAAGGCGCCTGGATTGCCCCGTGCTCGGCCCCACAGGTCTCTTCCCCACGGCGGGGAGACGGGTGCGGAGCAGGGTTAAGGGCCCCTGGGGGGGTCCCTTCGCGGCCCCATCTCAAGAGCGCTGAGGAAGAGGCAGGAGCGGGTGGGCTGGCACCTGAAGGGCGCGGGGGTCCGGGGGTTCCCTCCGCTGTAACCCGAGCGCCCGGTGCTATGGGAACGACGTGTCCGGCCCGCCCCCTACGTGAAAAATTCAGCAGCCGCTGGCACTGCCTCCAGGGGCTGCTGGGGGGCGGGGGCAGGAGGCAGCCGGCGGGTTTGGAGACAGGACAAGGTCCCGGCAGCGGGTGGGGGGGGACCTCCGGGCCCGGGAGCGCATGTGCCGCTCCCGGAGTCCGAGCCCAAACTTGCCCAACGTGAGGGTCCGGGCTGGAGTTCCCCATCCGGGTAGGTTTCGTGCCCGGGGCTGCCCCACCCCCGGGCCCCAGCTCGAAGGCCCCTCGCCCCGGGAGGCGAGTTCGAGCCCCCCTGCCCTGCCCGCGCCGCAGAAGCCCCCATGCGGGCGCCGGGCGGACTCCTCCAACTTCACCAAGTTGGCGGCGGGCTGCCCGGGCCTTTACCTCGAGGCGGGAAGGGGTCCAGGGTCCCC